AGTCAGTTCCACAGGACACAGATTGGTGAGTCTGAGCTATGTTAGGAAAAGAAGGTGAAGATTATGACCAGTTCTGAATTGTTGAGACCTTGCATTTTATTTGGGGGCTTTTCAGCAACATGAAGGTTAAGCTGGTGAGCAATGTGACCCTGAGCTGTGCTTAGAGAAGATAATCCTGGATACAAAATGTAGGGTGGTGGCTCTGAGTTAGCAAGACATTAGTAATAAGGGGCAGAAGAGATGGTTTAGTGGGTAGAGCACATGCTGCTCTTCCAGAGGACCTAAGTTCTCTTCCCAGCACCCATATTGGTTGACTCACAACTGTCTTTTTAATTCCAGTTTCAGGGGATCCAACCCCCTCTTATGGTCTGTGTGGATACCTTGCCCCCCAACACACATAGTGTGTAATTCCACAGGCATACACACATACACATTAATAAAAATAAATCTTTTCTTTTTAAAAATAATTTAATGAGAATTTCATACATGCATATACAGGGTTTTGATCAAATCCATGCCCAACCCCTCCCCTCCAACTCCTCCCATATCTCCCCATCACTTTTTTCTGATAACTTCAGGTACTCTTTCTTTTATTATTTTTTTATGGGGCTTTTGGCTACTCTAACATACCCCCCCCAAGAGGTAACCCTAAAATCTTTTAAGGCTTAGATACAAGCTCCCAAATACTTTTGACATGTTTGATCATTGGAACAGAGTATGTTGCTAAGAGGCCCAAGGACATTATGAGTTTTAGCCAAGAAACTGGCTACTTTTCTTTGGGGTCTTTTTACCCTAACAGCCTAGCCAATTCCTACCTCCTAGTCTTATCACACCATCCTCTGAAGAGGATACCCATCATGCAGGTAGGGAATAGGGACGTAGACGGCTCTGGCTTCTTCTGTGCTGAACAGGGATGCAGGGTGAGGCAATTGGAGTACCCCTTCAGTGGGTCAATCTAAAAGACTCCCAAATTGCATAACTCTTACCTGTAGGAGGAAAAGAAAATCCTTGACTGGTGAATAGGAGATGTGAAGGAGAAAGGCAAGAGTAATTAGCATTATAAGTTCTAGACACGGAACTAGAAAAAAGTCAGAACAGGGCAATTTTCAAATGTCCATATGAGAGTCCATTGGGATTTCTTGACAAGGGCTTCCAAAAGCATCCCTCTATTGGGTTCCTCCTCATTTCTCTTTTGTCTGCCAAGGCTGGACTCAAGAGTGATGGATTCAGGATTTGCTTTCAGGTATTTTGATAGCT